CCGCATCGGCTTCAGCCCACGCCCTGAAGGGCTTTTGAGACCCGAACAACGAGGCCTATATTCGCTTTCCTGTTCTTATCAAGTAGCTTGGGAGTGGGCTAGATGTGAAGTTTGGGAATGGCATGGGTTTGGATAATTTGCCCATATATATGTGTGTGTATACATTTATATATTGGTGTGTAAAATGTCAGCTGTTGAGGTTCTTAGCACAAGTCCCTTCACACCGTTACTATATTCAGTTTTGTTTTTTGGGGGAGCTTTAACTTAATGTCTTTTAAAAGGACTTGTATTCAAGCCTCCCCGCTAGGTTTTTGTTTGTTTTTTGTTTTTCGAGACAGGGTTTCTCTGTAGCTTCGGAGGCTCTCCTGGCACTCGCTCTGGAGACCAGGCTGGTCTCGAACTCGCAGAGATCCACCTGCCTCTGCCTCCCGAGTGTAATATTTCATTTTGTTGTTAACTGAGTGTCCTCTCAACGCTTATATCCTGAGGGGTTTTTATTAAGCTTGGCATATTCAGACATGGGTGAGTCTAGGCTGGTTCTGGAGTCAGGCTTCTGCCTTAGCTTCCCACGTGCTAAGATTGCAGGCGTTAGCCACCATCTATACCAGTGCACTCTGGCACCATCCACCTAATGTACAGGATACTGTCATAGTTTTTCTACAGGAACTCTGAGGCAGTTAGAGATTTTGTTAATGGATAGGCTTTTCAGAGATAGAGCCCCCAAAGGTAAACTTTTCTCTACTATTGTTTCTGTGGCTCAGTCTTGAAAAGTGAGTTTGTTAACTGCACAGTTTCTGGCTGACTAATCTGGGATGTTTTTACTTCACAGTGCCCAGCTGCCAATTTCAAGAGATGCCTGCCTGGTGAGTATAATTCTGCTAGTTCTCTTTTGCCCAGCTGTAGGCAGCTACCTAGGTTTCCTTTATACCTAGGCAAGTGTTACACTGCTGGGAGAACAGCAGCCAATAGCTGGTTGGCATTCTGGCCTGGTTCATGCCAACTCTGTTGTTAACTATACCAGGATGTCAGCATAGTTTCTTACCCCCTAAGGTAAGAGCAAGTTCTGCAGAAGAAACCTAAATTCAGGTCTTAGTGGTCGTGGTCTGGCAGGTTTGACACAGATTAGTTACTTCAATCACAACTTGGGGGAAAAAAACCAGAACAAAAGAAATCAAGCCAGTGAGGGATTTAAGAATAGGCAAATCAAGATGTAGTGCTTGTGACTAGTCTAAACTGGCCTAAGACAGTAGAGGACGCTATTAGAATGAGCTTTCATTAAAGGTGTTCTCCCCCCCACCCCCGCAATGTTTTTTCTTTATTTTTAATTTTATTTATTTAGTATGCATACAACATTCTGCTTCCATGTATATCTGCACACCAGAAGAGGGCACCAGATCTCATAACGGATGGTTGTGAGCCACCAGTGGTTGCTGGGAATTGAACTCAGGACCACTAGAAGAGAGGACAGTCAGTGCTCTTAACCTCTGAGCCATCTCTCAGCCCCACAATGATTTTTTTCACATGGGGTTTCTTTGTAACAGCCCTAGCTGTCCTGGAACTCATTCTGTAGACCAGGGTGGCCTCACAGATTCAGCTGCCTCCAGAGTGCTGGGGTTGAAGGCATGATTCACAGCTGCCCAGTTTATGCTTCCTTTTTAAGGGGTTTCAGAAGTAGGCGCCCAGGGAATGCTAAATCTGGAGTTGTGGCATGCAGGATCCCTTTTAGATTATCCAGGTAACCTAGAAGCTCAGTCTCAACAATAAATTGATCATGTATCAATTGATCATGGAGTTCTGGCAGCTAAGCTTAGGTCAAACTACCAAGTGAACAGCTAGGTACCTTTTGTTCCATTTTATTAGAATGCTAATCTTCTAAGAAATGGCTCATTAGGCATACTGGTGGTTATCCAATTACTGCTTCTGTGGAAACTAACATCCTGGCTTCTGCAAGCACAACCAGCCTCATGCCTCAGCTCATATCCTGAAGGGTATCAGCAGTCTCCACATTGCTCACTCATCTTTACTCATGCTTGCCCTGGTTCACCCCTTTTGCCTCTCAATTTAATGTTAAAGGCTTCCAAACCGATCAGAAACTAGCCCTGATCACAATATTGACAGAAAAGTTACTGCCCTACATTGCCTACTCTGAACCCTCTCATTCCACCTATCTCTACCTGCCCTTGGATTCATACCCATCCCAATTACTAAGTACCAGCTTAGCTCTGGAAGTATCCACCAAACAGGCTACCAAATGTGGCATGCCTTAGCATTTGCAGCTCTCTGCCCTGGCTTTAACATGACATTCCAGGTATCTGTACTCTTGCCTTCCTGTCCTGCAAATTCTCACTCCTCCCCTCACACTGATGCTATTTCTCAGATAACTCCCATACCTGGAATAAAACTGTCCCCTGCTACCTGTGATCTTGGTCCCTCTTTCAGGGAAGATGTGGGCTGAGGGCATCAGTGTTCTGTTCACCTTCTATTAAGTACTAGAGTGCTTGAGGGAGATTGACTCAAGTGTTGATTTTGAATGGTCTTAGGACTAGTGAACATAGGGCTTCAGAGGTACTTAGTAGGACATAAATTATATTTATTTTGTGTGGAAGGACTCAGGATTAGCTTGCCAGGGGCATTTCTCTGCTTCCCAGGGAAGGACTGAACTAGTTGTTTACAATTATAAATATATAGTGCATTGTTATTACCTCACTATTATGAATTACTAAGCATGGTTGTTTATTTTCCTTTAGGATAACTTGGAAGTAAAAGTGGTCTTCACCTCCTTAAAGGAAGTAGTAACTTACAATCAGGCAAGTGTGGTTATCAGGTAAGTGTTCTAGCATTGACGCCTACTCTGCCTATTTGGTGTGCATCAAGAAACAATTGGGAAGCAAATTCACTCTTAAGCAGTGACTAGTATCTTATTGTTTTTGTTTCAGAGTATGAAGGATCTTTGTGTCTGCCATTCCAATTGAGGAATGGTTTATAGGATTATTGAGTCCTAGAAAACAAAAGTAGTATATGTCTTGTTTCTGTTCACTGCTAAGAGTCTAAGCTTAGTCCTTGCCAAATGCAGACTGATGTTGGATAAAACTGGAAGTGTAGAAAGGGCTTTTATGCCTGTTTTAAAGTCAACATCCAGCTAATTGTGAACTCTTTATTTATTTATGTCTGCTACCTGGGGTCCCAGTGTACATTACATGGGGTAGGGAGTTTTTCTGAAGTAATCCAACAGTTGTCAGCTATTCAGGCTGTGTGGTGCCTGTGATTGTGTTACACTGTTGGAAGAATAAATGCTGTTTATTAAGGGTTGGCTCCGAGCACTGTTTTGGTGTAGGTGCTGATTACCTTTAGGCAGTGTTGCATCCCTGAGAGTGGAATAACTCCTTGTGGAGTTGGTCCTGGTCTAGGTGCAAACAGTTTTTTCATGCTAAAAGAAAAATGGGACTGGAATATAGCTGTGTGTGAAGGACATTTTGCCTTGTATGCACTAGGCCTTGTACCTTAACTGACACCATGTTACCTTTTTCTCCTTGAATTCTAGATCTGAATGAGAAAACTGACTCCATCAGGACTTCAGGTTTCTGACACCATGTTTTGAGTAATGTATGTGGTCCCTGAAATGTCTCTAGGTCATGATTAGAATACTCAGATGTGGAGAGAAAGCTAAATTGCTAAAGAGCTGTGACACAATTCCAGAGAATGCAGAATCCAGTGATGGAGCTCACACCCAGTTATGCAGTGTTCTGCCTCTATGTGTCCCTGCAGGCCAGAAGAGGGCACCAGATCTCATTATAGGTGGTTGTGAGCCACCAATGTGGTTGCTGGAAATTGAATTCAGGACTTCTTAACCTCTGAGCCATCTCTCCACTCCCCTGTTATAATTTCTTGAGGTCCTAGATGGTGGCTGGGTACCACATATGGCTGGTTACTTGTTAGTGGTTTTCAGGTTTTATTTGGATAGTAGTCATCTTAGGACAGCTCAGAACATTCCAGAAAGTGTGTGACATTGGTTTTTAAAAGCAAAGGCCTATTAAGTTCTTAGAACAGCCTACATAGTAAATATTGTTAATACTGTCTTTGTTTTCGTAACTGTATGAAAGTCAGACAATGTATCAGCAAATGAACATGGGTATATTCCAATAAAACTTATATGATAAACTGAGATTGGAATTTCATTGAAACTTTGTTGACATTCCCAAATGTTTGAAAGTTTTTAAAAGAAATTTCTCAAGAGTCACTAACAAACATAGCAAAATAGAATTAGTAATATTTCTTTGAGTGAAATTCAGGCCTTTGGGATTGAATGGCATTAGTCACCGTATCAAAGTGTATCTTCACACTTTTATTTTTAAGATCATTTAATCCAGATTAAGCTCAAAGCAGGTAATCTCCTGGATCCACCCCAAGTGAAAGAGTTAGTCATGAACCACATGCCAAGCTTTTGTTTGTTTGTATTCCTTATCTGAAAAGAGTAAGTTTACTAAATTATCCAGAAAGAAAAAAATCCTTATCCTTGGGTTTATATGGACTTTTCGTGGCTTCTATCATAGTAGTTCTCTCCACTAATGTATAATGAGCTTAAAGGGGAGATTTAAACAAAGGTCTGTGTGTGTGACATGGGTATGTAGATCTCTTGTAGGGCAGAAGAGGACTTTGAATCCCCTGCCATGATTTCCCGAGAACTAGGTGTTCTAGGGGGCTAGCAAGATTAATAGCTGACTATTTGTTCAAGCCCAAGACTCTTTGAGACTCTGGCTTACCCATTCCCTAAAGTGCTACAATGACAGGTGAGGACTACTGCACCTGGTAGATCTGTCTCCTGAATTAGGGGTTACAGATGGTCACACCTGATTTATCTCACTTTTTTCAGGACAGTCTTGTGTAATCAAGATTGGCCTTAAATACAGCAAAATCCCTGTACTGATAATTGGTATGTGCCACCATGCCCACCTGTAGGGATTTTGTATCTGCATTTTATAAGTGTGTGGGCATGATTATGCTACTCAAAACACTTGTTCATTCTTTTTCTATCACGTGAGTTCTGGGAATCCAAGTTGTCAGGCTTGGCAGTGGGCAGCTTTCCCCATTAAGCCATCTCTTCCTGTCCTCTACAGGGCTTTTAATCTAGGGTCTTGAGTCTTAGACTGTGCAGATTGCCTTCCTGGCCACAGGTAAGGATATCCATAAGTACAGAGGTTCCTGTGGTATTTTTTGAAAATGGATATTATGACTACTAATGCATGTAGTCACAGTCCTAAGAAGTTTCAGTGACATAAATAATACAATTAATGGGGCTGGGTGTTGGTGCCTCATGCCTTTAATTTCAGCACTGAGGAGGCTGAAGCAGGTGGATCTCTGTGAGTTCCAGGCCAGCCTGGTCTCCAGAGTGAGTACCAGGATAGGCTCCAAAGCTACACAGAGAAACCCTATCTCGGAAAACCAGAAATCCCAGTTGTTTAAATCCTGATAAATTCAAGATGAATCATTAAAGCATTCACAAAAGCTAAATGTTTTTTAGGGGCTGGATAGCCTGCTCAAGAGTCTTCTAGAAGACCCAGGTTTAATGCCCAGCATCCACAGGGTGGTTCACAACCATCTTGTAACTTAGTCCCAGGGGATCTGATGGCCTATGAGGTATACACGCTTACATGCAGGCAAAACACCCATTCACATAAAAATAAATGAAAGGCATATGTGTGTGTCCTCTGCATGCCCTATGCCCATGCAGTCAGTAGCCAGCAGATCCCCTAGAACTGGAGTTAGGATGTTTGTGAGCCACCGTGCTGCAAATTATTCTGATCAAGTTTTAGGTTCTGGGTCTCCATAAATAAAAATGAACATTAAAAAAGTAAGTAGGCAGGGCTGGGTGGTGGTATATGCCTTTAATCTCAGGAGGCAGAGGCAGGTAGAACTGGGTTCTGAGACCTGCCTGGTCTGTAGGGCAAGTTCCAGGAGAGGTAAGGCCAAAAAGAGACATTCTGTCTCAAAAAACAAACAAAAAGCAACTATAGTGCATCTGTTGATGGCCCTTCATTACTTTGTCACTTACTGGGTTTAAGCAAGTGACTTTAGATATTTCTTGAAATGTTGAGCCAGGTCTTACATTAATTATAATTAGAAAAACAAAACCCAGGGGGGATAAATTCTACAGGTCCCAAAGGAACACAAAAAGACCTCTCCAGTGCCTAGGAATTTACACAAAGGAAAAGAACAGGGTAAGAGCAACTAATTAAGGACTTGAAAAGAGTGGAAATGACTCTTGAGAATTGTGAGCAGTTGCTGTTAATGGAACTGTGAACTCTTAGGAAAACAATTTCACTGGGTTAATGAACTAATACATGAGATTTTTGGCTAGTAGCATCCTTGCCCTCCTTGCTATGTGGGAACACCTACAATGAATCAATTTGCTAAATTGTGTTTCTTAGTTAAGTGCTGCCCTACTTAAAGTTATCCTGAAAAGGAAAGCAAGGAAGCAGTTCATTGTGTGAAAGGAACATTATCTCCACTCCTGGTTCTTTCTCGGGGATAGGTTTCTGGACAAGTGTAGCAGCCAAGGATACATAGTGAGACCTTGTTAAAGGTTACTGTCTCTGCCTTGTCTACTTCCTGGGCAGTATTCACATGTCTTAATTCCAGCATTTGGAGTTGATGACAGACTACGACCATGACCATTGACAGTCACCTGGCCCCACTCACCCTGGTGGTTACTGGTGAAAGCTGTTTACTGCTCCACGGAGGCCTGTTGACTAGCATTTTAGAGATTCACAAGGGAAATACACTGAAAGGGTAGAGGACTGGGACCACCTTAGTGGGGAGTTGCTGGAGGTTGAACACAGGGTCAAGCACTTGCTTAACCGGAAAAGTGTGCCTTCTAGAAGCCCTTTAAACTCTTAAAAACGGACGCTTCATTTTAAAGGTTACGTTTATAATATAAACTTAAATTTACGTGGATGTGAGTATATGAATACAGAAGTGTGGGAGGTATTCCCCAGAGCATTTGTGGGTATCTGGAAACTGAACTTTGGCTTTCCACAGGAACACCATATACTTCTGCCAAGCCATTTCTGGCCACCTAAGCTGCTTTGTTTTGTTTTGTCTTTTTGAATAAGATAAGCTCTTGCCATGTAGCAGAGTGCTGCAGTTACAGACATGGTGAGTCTCTGCACTCAGTTTAAGCTGCTTAATACAAAACACATTTTTCCCCATTGTTGGGGAGCTGAACCCAGGATCACATGTTAGATGACAAAGGACAAAAGTACTGGATGAAAGCTATGGGAGGGAAGAATCTTACTGTTTGTGAACAAATTCGTGGTAGATTGTATTAAAGATTGACAGTTACATGTAAAATTATTGTGATATATTTTGTGACATGGTCTCTAGCCAAAACTCACCTCTACCTTGGTGCATGCTGACTTTGATCCTGCTCAAATTATGTTGTGTTGAGGATTGAACCCAGGGCCTCAAGTAACCTACCAGCTGTACCACATTTCCAGCCCAAGACTGCATGCTTCTGTCAAGTTTCCCTCAAACATTAAAAACCAATGCCCGGCTCAGGCCTTCATTCTTTACCATCCCTGATGTGTGTCACACCATCAAAACCCTAATAGAGTTCTTAATTTGTCTCTTAGTCCCTCATCAGAGGACAGTCTTCCAGGGTGTAGTCTTTCCCATCTTTGTATCCCCAAACTACTATAGTGTGTCTTGTGAATAGTCTCACAAATCCGTCTTTGTGATAAGTCTCTTGGCACCTGTAGTTTGTCTTCCATTTCACTGAACTTCAATAATTACTCAATTAACAAGAATTTCACTTCTATACAATTATGAAATGCCAGGAGAGTGTGTAAACATTTGGGTAAGTGTATTGTGGTTTGAAGTCACACAGGAAGATCTTAGTATTTCAATGACTATTGGGTCCTGCTATTGTTGATCTTCGTTGAAGCTTTCCTTATTCCTTGTCCTGTTATACAGATGAATGACTCCTTCATGGTGTCTGGTGTGTCCTGTCCAGCCTCTTACTAAGACTCTCTTGCTACACATTCTACATTGAATGGGCTCTGCTCCTTTCCATACTTTCAGCATCTCCTATCATGTCCAAATTGCTAAATCTTATTTTTAGTCTTGATCTTGTTGATCATTGTGATTAACTTATTTTCCAAGTATTCCTCCACTTTTGCTAGTTTTGCAGGATGTCATCCTGTGAGGCACCCATGGGGGATTCCAACTTTAAAGATGATATAATTTACCTTTAAGTTTTGTCTGTTCTTTCCCTTTGCACTATAGTAGAAGCAGAAGTGTTTTCTCAAGGATGTGAATATAGTTCTACATGCTCTGTTTTGTGGGGTTTTTTATGTTAATAGCCAGGATTTGTATTTGCTAATTTATTTTAGGCATTACTTGACTACATCTTCATTTGCCAAACCCCGCCCCCAGGATAATGGCTATACTCAGTCTTTTCTGCAAGTTACCTACAAAGGCACTGTTTTTTACCCATTTTCTTCTGAGATTACTTCCTTCTCTGAATTTGCCAAACTAGCTTTCTCATTCCTCAGATTATTCATCTTGCTAAATTTATGCACATTTTGTTTTCAGTTGTCCATGAGGAC